TGACTTTCTCAATTTGAATATTCATGCTGAAGGGTCAGAAAGTTCCTGAAGGAGCATAAGGAATTTTACTCTTTTGACATTGAACAAATTTAAGTAATTGATTCAAATGTCCAATGGCTTTTTTTTTTTTATCCTTAAACAATTCCAAATGGTCATTTACCAAATATTCTGAACAGGTACATTCTGAGTAGTTGGGGTAGGTCAGGCCGTGAAATAAATTTACATAAAATAATTGATTAATACAACTTCAGAGAAAAGAATTATACCAATGAACAAGTACCTTAAAATTTTATGTTCATAACCTAAAATAGCAATAAAAAAAGTAAAAACTTTAGATCTATCACTTTTAACCTGACTCCAGAGATTAAAAAAGCTGTTATTGAATCCAACTATATCTTTACTTGATGGGAAAGAAGACCCTGAAAGAGGAAGCCAAACTCTGTAGGAAAGAACAGAATTGGAAAGTTGTTCCCTGTGGATTTCTCAGGGATAAGAGACAACCTACCTTGCTGGGCTACACTCACCTGCAAGGGTTTCATGAACAACCCTAGATCTGGAGAACTTGACCAGACAACTCTGAACAGAGAAAAGCATAAGGGGGGACACACGAGAACCTGAGGGCTACTGGGTCTTCCAGTCTCCTGGTCATAGTTTTGGGTCCTTATGAACATTCTGAATGGCCAGCATACCTGGGATGTCTTGAAAAGCTTGGAATTTGCAGTAGATAAAAACCTTCATGCATCAGTCAGTCACAAAGCCCCTGTTCCTGCCCAGTAAAAACTGCTACACTGAGAATTATGGGATGTAATCAAAACAGTCCCTTACTCAAAGGGGCTGACCAGATCTGTGTCAGCAACCTTCCATGAGCAAATGAAATAAGGCATGTTGTTTATTCTGACCTTTCCAGTAGATTCAGATAAACCTGACAAAGGTGAATAAATACCAAATCAGTTAAAGAAACATACTGCAAGGCAGGAAATGGTTACACTCATGATTCATAGTATTTGTCATGAAAATCTTTTTAAAAAATCTAGAATCTCTCTTCTTTTGTGAATTAAAAACAAAATCAATTTTTGCTTTATCAAGAATTTTTGTCACAAAAAAGTAATCATCTTCTTATGCTTTGATATGTGCATCATTCAGAATACCACATTTTTATTTTACCATTGACTTAAAATAATTTTCCTCATTAGAAATGTGTGTGATTCTTTAAAAAACAATAAAGAATATGTTGCTCATATATTTAACATTTGACAAACTATCAAAGTTGATGATGAAAGTTATTACTATCATGAACTATATATATATATATATTTTTTTTTTTTTTAAAGTAGGCTCCATGCCCAGCATGGAGTCCAACATGGGGCTTGAACTCACGACCCTGAGATCAATACTTGAGCTGAGATCAAGAGCTGGACACATAACATAACCCACTGAGCCACCCAGGTGCCCCTCATGAACTATATTCTATCTCAAATTTCATAAAATAATGCTTGCAATGTACAAAAAACCCCACAAAAATTAAATAAAGAGCCCCAGGATCATGAAAATCCCTATAAGACCATTATTTTAGAGACAATATGATATTTTCTTTTCTTTTTTTTTTTAAAGATTTTATTTATTTGAGAGAGAGAGAATGAGAGACAGCATGAGAGGGAAGAGGGTCAGAGGGAGAAGCAGATTCCCTGCTGAGCAGGGAGTCTGATGTGGGACTCGATCCCGGGACTCCAGGATCATGACCTGAGCCGAAGGCAGTCGCTTAACCAACTGAGCCACCCAGGCGCCCGACAATATGATATTTTAGAGCATAGAGATACAATCCTGAGTCTTTGTTAACAATTTAGCTTCGTCTGACCAATGAACACTTCTGATTCAGATTGCTGTCCAATGATAGTAGTCTTTGACTTTCAGTTAATATTAGCAACGTATTTCCTTTGCATCATGGTAATGACTACACACTGAAAGGCCCACTCCCCAAAAATGGATCCCATAGTATACAAAAATCTTTAAACAAATATACACTGAAAATTTGGGACTAAAAAGTGTTCTTCCTAAAACATATAAGGAGAGGAATGAATTGAATCTCTTCCATAGTACTACTTCTGGTAGTGTCTGACCCTTTCTTAGCTGTTTAGATATTTCTTTTTGCTTCTTAAAAACAAAAACAAATAAAATGTACTCTTTCTCTGTAACAGGCTTTCATCAGCATATTAAAAAAAAAATCTCCTGTTCTGATAACTGAAATTATATGCTTATATTCTTAAAAATAAGGCAGGAAAGAGTTAACATGAATATTTCTACTCAATCCCCAAACCTCCAGGGGGAAAATATGTTTTTGAACCTTAAATTATAGGGATGAAAAGTACAAAGGTCCCACCAATTGTGAAGTTCAGTGAGGAATAAAGCATTGTAATCTCAGCTGTCAGCATAAAAAGCATTTCTCAGAAGCTTCGTTCCAACTATAATAACTTGGTGTGCTTGCTAGAAAAAAAATTTATGATCATATGAGCTTCATGCATGATTGATACCATTACTGTTTATTTTAAGACTGTCCTTGAGAATCAATCAAACAAGCATTCCCAGTGTATGTTTTGCAATCAAGAATGAAGAACACAATATAAGTGCTTTTCTGGAGAATATGTGATGGACTATTCTTCCTATTAGAGCTTCCTACCAAAAAGAAATACCTAATAAAGGTGAATCAGGCAGAAATTCATGTCAGGTGTTCTTTATAGTATGTTGAATTAACAAGCAGCTACTCTTATGACTGAAAAAAGAAAAATAGAGGTTATCATTACACATAAGAAAGTATATAAACCCAACTAAGGATATGCTCAAGTGCTTAAAAAACTAATTGGAAATAATACAAACTATGAAGCATAATCTAATCTAAGTCATTAGGAAATCTCCTTTGTATCAAAAGAGGTTTTTAAGGTCTCAGATTGCACAAGCCTCTTATCATTCATAATTAAATGTTTGCATTGTGTAATAAATATGGATGACATAACTTAAATACTCTAAAAAATAACTCTTTCCATGAACCATTTTTTTCACATTCATATTGAAGAAGGGATCATGTATATTTGAAATGAAATCTCTTTTTTAGTAAAATCAACTTTTCTTGCATAATAATATGATTGAACTGAGGGATTCAAACTATAAAGAAATACGGTAAAATTTATGTCTAGCCTCAAAAAGAAAACTTAATAATCATCCAAACACTGATGCTATCCCAACAATCTCTGAAAGCAAATCTAAGACTTTCCCAAAGCAAGAAGCCATCAATCCAGACTCTCCCTTCTAACTTCATAGTGAGCAAAATAAAACCAAGCACTTACTTTTACCCACCTTCCCCATGCCTCACCTTACCACCATCACTACTACCACCAAACTGAAGCAATAGGCCCTTTGGCTTACAACATAAATAACAGCTTGCCATTTTTATTCCTTCAGTCCATGAACTAGTTACTCCTTCATTTCAACATTAAATCATCTCTTGATTTCAGTGTTAGAAAAAATCCATCGGTGGCATATAACTCTAAAAGTTCAAATTTGCAACCAAGAGAAGTCTGGACTTTCAGCCCCTTTGTATCTCTCTTTTTATTCAGAAAACCAAAGTTGTATTTTTCAAAAGGTTAAACAGTTTTGGTTTTTGAAATGGGGTTTCTGTGTAATACAATCATACTTAACATCTGTAAACTTCTTTAACTCTTGATAATGGCTCTTACTTTTTCAAATACTTTGTTTCTCTACCAACCATCACTTATTACATGGAGTCCTAAGAACAGTTTATATAAACACAGTTATATTCAGAATATGGCCTCACACATGGCATTTATTATGCACACTTTGTACATAAATCTGTTACGTGAAATATGTTCAAATGCTGTGCAACAGGTCCTGCTATTGTGTAAACACACACTCTCAACAAAATGACAGTAAGCTTTAAAAGAATCAACAATATTTTAAAAATCACATTATTCTTCAGAGACTTAATTGTAATTCTTTTGAGACGTCAGAAGACAGAAGATCTCATCAAAAGTAGTATATTTTACTAAAACCCTCTTACTGTCTTTGTATTCCACTGTGTATGTTATAAACTGGAGTTAGAGCCCAGGTGTATACACACTTTCATTGATTTACTGCACATTACTGGCTTTAGTGCTGAGTTGATGACAGGAAGAGTACTTTGGCAGAGGTCTGACAAGTCCTTATCCTTAAGTTTCCTTCTGCTTTATGTCTGTCTGTTCCCAAAGCTGTCAAAGTAAAGCAAATGACAGACTAAAACCTCTCAGTTTTGCCCTGAGAGTGTGAAATCAAATTAAAAACACACCTCAGAACTATTACATTGGGCCACGTTTATTTTCAATTGGCGGGGGAGGGGAAGAGAAGACACTTTAAAAGAGATGGATTTCATGTCCTCCGTAGTCAGATCTAGTTACAGTGTATTAAGTTATGTCTAAATGAAAAAAAAAAAAAGACTGTCTAGTCAAGTGTTTTATCACAAAGTAATGTTATTAAACATATGAAGTATTCCCACGCTCTCCTCTAGATTCTTTGATTTTAACCTCCTTTGTTAGGCACAGAACATGGGGAGAAAGATTTCAGGAACAATACCAAGGAAGCACATGATGCCAAGCAATGAATTCTGTATTTCCTGAACAGTTTATCCATCATAAACTCAAACTGCTTTTATTAACCCACACGTTTGCTATATGTAGGACTTCTCCTCTTCCCTGGGTGACAAGCATGGACCGGCTACAAATGTATCTCCGAGCGCGCAGCATCGTGCTTTGTGCTGCTGGGGATAACGGATTCTCAGTCTCGCGCGCATCCATCACCTAAGACACAGGGAAACTCAACAAGGGTCTCGGCGGCTGCAGAGCAAACAATGTGTAGAGACCCAGGCTGCTCTGAGCTACCAGGATCCCAGGAGTGAACGCAATGTTTCAGGGAGCAGCCCAGGCAAGGGAGAAGGAAGAAAGCTCTCATACTCTTACCTCCACATTGAAATACTGCTCCGTTCCGCAGACGGTAGCACATAAAATCCAAAGCAGGGTTTGCAAGAAAAATACCCCCGAATGATGCACGAAATCCAACCGTCTTCCAGTGCTGAATGTGAGTAAGATCATAGTGAACTGTGCTTCAATGGATGGACGAGCTCCCCTTCGTTTTCTCCCTTTCTCCCTCTCCCTCCCTCCCTGGTTTCCTTTCAGAAAAAGTCCTCCGGGTGGGTAAGGAGCCTGCAGGTTCACCCACAGCCGGGCAAGGGTAGGAGACTGAGGGCCCAGCACTCGGCAGCCCCCGAGAAACAGCGGCAGAGGCAGGGTCAGCAGCAGCCTGCATTCACCATCCTCGGGGGCCCGTCACCGGGAACGTGGCGCCCAAGTTCACCGGCGGTTCCGGCTCAAAGCGCCGAGTCGCAGCCGCAGCAGCAGCCGCCGCCGCCGCCGCTGCAGCCGCCGCCTCCAGCCCGTGCGTCCTCCTCCTCCTTCTTCTCCTCCTCCTCCACCGCCCACTCCTCCGCCGCCGCTGCCACCTCCTGCTTCTGCGGGAAGGGCCTCCGCCGCTCCTCGCTTCTCGCCTCTGCTTCTTCTTCCCTCCTCTCCTCGCTCCCCTCCAGAATGTTCATCCGTAATCTACATAACTCCTCCTTCCCGGGGGTCTGCCTGACTCCCGGGCCCTCAGCGCGCGCGCGCGCACACACACACGCACACACACACACACCGGCGCGCGCGCGCGCACACACACACACACATACACACACACATATCTGCACATGAGCACACACACAACTCCACACACGGACGCGCGCGCTCTTCTTAAAGGAGACGGCTTGTGAAGGGGAGACGCTACTGTACCGCGCACTGGAAGTAGCCAGACCTCCAGAGAGGCCCTGCATTGGGACGAGGTCCTTGACACACCGCCCACCCCCTCTTCCCCGAGACTGGAACCCAGCAACCTGGGCGGCTCCATTCTTTCATCTCGCCCACCCCCTCCCGAGCATCTAGAAACAAGTGCGCCCCTCCCCTGCCGGGGACTGGGTGGGGCTCAGGCTGCGGACCCTGGCTGGGGCTGGGGAGCGGCCCAGGCCTGGTCCCGGAGAGTGGCTGGCGTCCTCAATCAAGCGTCCCTGGAAGGTCGGGGGAGCGCTGGGAATCCGGGAGCGCCGGAGTCACTGCGCACTGTTCGGACGCTCGCGTCGGTTGCCAGGCTGGTCAAGTTTGGGAAGCCTGAGATGGCAAGTCCCGAGCGTCCAAAACTTTGTTGGGGTCCACCGACCGAGCCTGTGGCCCGTTGTTTCCCTGAATTTCTTCTACCATCGCTACAGCCCGCCTTTTCGGGCTAAGGGAGTAGGCACGGGATTTGGGGGTTGGTGTCTAGTCAAATACAGAAGCGGGAAGAAAATGCTCACTTTTCAAAAATGTTCTATCCGGTGGGCGTACGTACACACTGGGACCCAAGAGAGGTGGTCCCGGGCGTTAACAAAGCCGCGGGCCAGGGAGGGTGGGGACGCTGGAAAGAAACCCCGCTGCTAGAGCGAGGGGAAGGGCTGAGGAGGAAAAGAGGGGGAGCAGCCTGAGGAAAGGCGAGTAAAGCAGCCGGCAAGGGCGGGAGGAAGAGGCTGCGCGCAGACCGAGCGGGGGGAGAGGCTGGCGGGGTCGAGGAGAGCCGCAGGCCTGAGGAGGAGGAGGTGGAGGCGGCTGGCCAGCGGCACTGGAGAGCTGCGGGCAGGGGAACTTCAGAAGAGGCTGCCAAAAAAGACTCGAGCCGCAGCAGTTTGAGGCAGTGGACAGCGGGGGCAGCAACCGCCAGCCCTTGGCAGGTGATGCTTTGGCTGAGGGAGAAAGGGGGAAGGGAAGCAGGCAGGCCTCTGTTTGCGGGCCATGCCAATAAATGTGCTTCTCCTTGGCAGCCAGCAGAGGGGAAGAGGAGCCCGCGGGAAAGAAATGCAGGAGAGGTTGAGAATAAAGGCTGCTCCAGGTGTGACAGCTACCTCGGTGAGGTGGGAAGACGGAATTGACAAGACAAATTTCATGGGTGAGTTGGTAGAGCAATAAATAAACCTGCAAGAGGTCATATTTGGTAAGCAAATGAAAAACGTTGAAAAACGCTTTGCCAAAATTGCACTGAACTGTAATAATTTGTATACTAAAGAGAAACACAAGAAAGCTAAGGAATAGGATTTTGCAGCTAATGCTTTAAAAAAACTGAAGGAAATATGACCCACCTACTTTGACCCAAGACTGTCAGGGAGCCTTTTCTGACGGTCTGCTCCATGCACAACATGTCCTATCCACAAAATAATTTTGAAGACATAATAAAAAGAAATACCTTATATTGTATAGCATATTAAAATTTGCAGAATGTTTTCACACATAGTATCTCATTTAATTCTCACAACATTCTTGAGGATTTTGTTTTTGTTTCACAGATGGAGAGATGATGGTTATAAAAGATATTTCGAACAAACCATTCAAGTGGCAGATTTCAGACCTGAGTTTTCTGACTCCCAGTTCAGGGCAGTTCCTGCTACATGACAATGACTTTCCATATAGAAATCCATTTCTCCTCTTAACAGTTTTATAACCCATGGATTGAGATGACATACATTAAAAAAAAAAACAAAACAATGATTAGAAGGCAACATGAAAGCAAGACCATTATATAGAAGTTATACAGTGTTGTGTGCCAAAATGAAGTAACAAAATGTGGTGGAGAGTATTTGTCAATAAATCAACAATCATTTTAATATCTACATTATATTTAGCAAAGTTCAAAATTAGGGGAGAGAAACAAAAAAAATTTACCCTTTTCCTAATCCTTGAGATACTATTGAAAGGAGGGAGAATTAAAAATTTATGCAAGTTGTACATGAGAAAACGGTTCTAAATGGTGAAGTACTTGCTAAATGAGCCAGAATATTAGCAGACTTTGTCAAGGAAGTGGAATGCAAGTTGAGTGCTGCTATCAGCGAAAAGGGGTTTCTCACTGCAGGCAACCTGTTTGTTGAAGAAAATACCTGAGCTCAAAATAAAGAGATGTGGAGGATAAGATACGGGGAGGAGCTTGCAATGAAATAATGAGTTAACATTTCATCAAATAGTCAAACAACGATTGCTAAACTATTTTAGATAGGAATAGGTACTAAGAAAGATTATCTTCAGAATTATGCATAGGATTGGCGATAGGGAGAAACTGGGTGCAAAGACGTAATGGTTTAAAAAGGTTGTAATCCAGCTGTGAAACTGTAAGGGCCTATATGAGTGAGGTGTTCTTGGAGACTTATGCTTTTGAGGAGCCAAGGAACAAGGAAATAAGAGTAGGGAATCATAAATTCAAAAGATAATCTCAAATTAATGATTTGTAATAATGATAAATTTTTACAAACATTTATTAAATTCTTTGGTGGGCATTCAATGAGCAATGAATGAATTAATGTGTGTTCAAGGTTCTAGAAATACTAACAGAAATAAAATAAATAAAATAAAATACTGAGACCAACGTGTAATAATTATGGCAATGTTTTAAGGACTCAGATAATTACATATGTGAGATGCTACAGAACAGGGTGGAAGAAGGTAGTGATTTTCCTTGAGGTCCTTGGAGAAAGCATCACAAAAGTACTGGTTTTCAAAGGGTATCTTGAAGAAAGAGTAGAAATTTATCGGTCAGATAAGAAAAGGTTATTTCAGACCTGTGTGCAATGGAGGAGTAAGCATTACAAGATGAATCTGAAGAACTACAAATGGTTTGTCAGGGCTGCAGACCAAGGTGTGTGTAAAGTAAGGTGAAGGTCCGAGGTTGCAGAGATCTTATCAGGGAAAGTCCTGTGTGCCATTTCAAGCTTTAGACTTTTTACCCTAAAAGAATTCTTAGTAGGAGATAAGTGAATTTTCACTACATTTGTTGCATGTTTGCCAACTCTGTGGAAACAGTCACCTTTTAGAAGTTCTTATATTTTTTACTTCAAATGTTCTATTAAGCATTTAATATCTACTATCTTTGTAGAACTTCTATCTGTGCTAGTCTAATACGACTGATGAAACAGTTCCCCATATGGACTCATCTGGGTACCTGTGGAAATGTAATCACTTCCCTTGTCAGGTAAGTTTCTTATTCCATCTCTCATCTGTAATGTAGCCTTATCTTTTAAGAGTCGGAATTATGAAGAAGTTCCTACTCTCATGTCTTAGTAGTGTTAGCTTCTTAGTTGGTGGTCTTCTTAGAGAAGGACTTGTTTTTTTATCCTCAGTAAGTTAAAATATAGAATATCATTCTTCCATTTAGAGTGTTAATTAAATCCGTCCTCACAACTCTTGGCCCTTGCTGTGTGTGCTTTCTGTCACATACTTCCTTTCTTCTCACAATTCCACAAAACTAATGAATAATCTCAGAATTACAAGTGAATGGAGAACAGAGAATCCAAAAAAGATTAAAGAAAATGAATAAGAAAGCCAAAGGAAAATAACAATTGCCCCCAGCAAAGGTTAATAGCAATTCAATAAAAATTACTTAGGAGAGAAAGTGAAGAAGTAAATGATATATATGAATCCCAAGAGGCAAATGATAGATACTTATAAGTGAGCAGTTGAGTGGCATGCTGAGATGTGTGAATGATTACAACCACCCAAAATAACATTAGAGGTGAATAATATAATCATGGAGCCCAGTTTCTTAATGAACTAGAGCCTTAGAAATGAGTTCTACAGCTTGGAAAGTTACATAAACTTGTTCATTCCTCTATCATTTCAATTTATGTGCTTTCTTCTCTATTTGCATCCATTAAACCCGCAGCGCTTTGTTTTGTTTTAATTCAGGGAATATTGAATTAGTGCTGAGCTATAGGCATTCTCTCATGCGTCTGTTATTAGCAGGGGCATGCATATGTAGAACAGCCAGCTACAGCCTTATAATTTAAGGTGTGTCCCTGGTGGAACCTCAGGGTCTTAGAGCTTGTTGGAAAGGCTGATTCTCTGCTGCACCAAGATCCCCCTGTGATTCATACACAGGGTAGAGTTGAAAAGTTGCTAGCTATTATCACTGCCCCTGAAGATAGTATGATTTTTTTTTCCGTTTTCTTCATTGATTTATGCTCTCCTTTAACTATGAGTATCTCAAATATTTGGTTTTCTGCTCATTTATTTGTTCATTCTTTCCCCCAGTGACCATTCATTAGCCACCGTAAAATACCAAGTGATTGAGAATGTAAAAAAGATAAATGTGAAGAGTTAAAAAAGGCCACCTCAGTTTGGGTAGCATCTAAGACAGGTAAGAATGAAGTTTTGGATTTTATGGTTGTTTTCACTTGAATTTACTATCAACATAAATAAATAGCTAGCAGTGCAAAACTTAGAGATAAGATTTAGGTATAGGTGAGTGAGTGGAAATGGCCTCCACTGTTTCCCCATT